GGGGGTACATAACATTTCATACGATGTGTATCTTACCAGCCAGATTTCATGGAACAGCTGGTCGGTGAGGGCGGAGCAGGCCGTGAATAGGACGTTCTTTAGGCTCGCTGATACGAGCAGCTGTCGAAGGTGGAGTGCGCTGGGCAGCTGCTCGTGGCCCTGGCCGTGCGCGCCGTGCGCCTGGGAGGTGTCGGCCCACACTTCGAGCGCCTGCAGGAGCGAGAACCACGAGGGGTTGACGGAGTTGAGCGGCTCGTAATGCCCCACGGCGGACAGGGCCAAGTTGAGCAGGCGCGGGCACGTGCGCCCGATGCCCGCCAGGTCCACCTCGGTGAAGTTGGTGAGGATGAGGTTCTGGAGGCGCTCGCCGCAGGCGGACAGCAGGGGGAGCACGCCCTCCTGGAAGTCTAGGCTGAGCCCCTCGCCGTTGCTGAGTGACAGGGCCGTCAGGTTCTCCAGCACCATGAACTGGAACAGTCGGGTTCGTGCAGTCTATTTCTCCCTCCAGAGGCCTTGGAGGCTGCTCATGTAAAAGCCTACCTTGTACAAGGCCTCGTTGGGCAACCAGGAGTTGCCGATGCTGATGGACGCGGCGAAGGGGCACATTTTAACTGCCGAGTCGATGAAGTCGAGGCTGACGAACTCGACGCTGGAGGTGAGGGCGCGCAGCTGGAGCACGTCCGGCGGAGCGACGGGCTGTTCGGACAGCCGCACCCCGGCCGGCGTGAGCAGGCGAGCCTCGAGGGCGCGGTCCCACTGGTCCACCATGTCCACGGCCTCGAAGATGTTGTCGAAGTCAAAGTCGGTGAGGCAGGGCAGCGACTGTAGCACGACGGCCGCCCCTGACACGGAGACGCAGGTCTCGCTGATGGACAGCTTGCAGAGCCGCTGGCACTGGCGCCGCCCCTCCGTGGAGATGCACAGCTGCACCAGGCCGCGGTCCGTGACGGGCGTGCCCGCCAGGTTCAGCTCGCGCAGCGACGGGCAGTGCCGCCCGACCTGCGCCAGCAGCTGGAGGAGCAAGCGAAGTAAGGCGCATGCGTTAGGATGTAGTAGGGTGCGCGCGAGTGAATCGAAGGTAAGACGACGCTTCCTCACCGGGTCGACGGCGAGCGTCATGCGGAGGTTGAGTGTGATGAGCGTCGAGAAGGAGGGAATGAGGTTGCACAGCACGTGTGGGTTGATGTGCCGCAGGTACGACAGGTTGAGGTGCTTCAGGCACTGCACATGATCACCCGTCCCAAAGAAGAACTTTAGTCGTGAAAGGCCATTGTCGCCCGTGCGAGCGCTACCACTACTCGTCATTCATCTTACTAACACAGCACTCAAACCACAATCTAAAGTAATTACAACGGGGAGGGGTTGATGAGGGGGAAGTTACATGAATGACTCAAAAACGGTGACTGATAATCACACCGGGGATATGCAAGGGGAAAGCTTTGTAAGCTGATGGAATAACATGGACGAACTAGCTGATGAGAGTCCGCGGAGTCGACAACACACGTTCTCCTATTGTGTGCAAGGTTTGACGTACTCCGAATGTACCCCAAGTGAGAAGCCTTATAATCTTCAGTGTTGCGGGTTTGCATACTCATGGGGCCATGGCGCCTTACGCGCAGATCGGGTAGGCAAACCCGCAACACTGTAATGTATTGCCTTCACAGACGGTACACTACTAAAAAAATCAGAGTTGTCGACCCCTTAGATGTGTGTCTCCGCCTCTCCCTAATGGCACGTCGGGCTGTGTACGGTGTATTACTTTGTACTCACCTTGCTTCGGGCCGCCAGAAAATCGAGGCCTAGTCGCTGGTCCGCCACACCGTGCAGAGTCCAGCTGGTCACTCTGGGGGTGGTCAGCAGGTGCAGGTGATGCCGCCGTAGGTGCGTCAGGTGCTTCATCTCCTCGCTCATCTCCTCCACGAGAAGGGGAGCTGAGAGCCATCCCACACTTCTCTATCTGCACTGCACTCCCTATACTCCCTCCCTCCCTCCTTCCCTCCCTCCCGCGTAACAGGTGCCCAATCAGAAGGGCATTGTGGTCTGTTATGAGAAGCTCTTGCCTTGTATCGTAAGCGGAGCCATTAACAGAGGCTCTATAGCTAGAGAGAAAGGGGGTGGAGGGCGGAGTTTGCTGCGAGTCTTGCCGTCTGGCCTGCAGTTAAATTTTGATGAGGAGCTGTGATTCGCCAAATGCAAACAATGCGGGCAATGTGATAAAAGCGCTGCGCTTCCCCCATCCCTTCTGTCTCCCCTGTAGGAC